TTTTAAAAAAAAAAAAAAAAAGAAAAAAAAGTCGCGATTCGTTGTTGGACTCACGTGACATGAAGTTAAAAAAATCGTGATGCGCTGTGTGGACTCAAGTGATAAGAGAGTACACAAAAAAGAAAAAAAATGTTGCGCTGTGTGGGCTCACCTGACATGAAGTTAAAAAATCGTGATGCGTTGTGTGTGCTCATGTAACATGAGATTTAAACACAAAAAAAAGAAAGAAAAAAGTCGCGATTCGCTGGTGGACTCACGTGACATGAAGTTAAAAAAATCGTGATGCGCTGTGTGGGCTCATGTGACATGAGATCTTCTGTAAATCATGAGTTCCTGAGTGGGTAGTTTGGAAAATGCGTAACGGTCTTTGTCTTCTGTTGTAGGCGGTAATAAAGGGGAATTCAGAAATAGCTGGGAGTTTTGAAAAAGAAGGCGGACGCCACCATGGTGGAGACAGCACTGTCCACATTCAAAGCGCTTGGAGTAATTAGGGTTAAGCAATGACGACGGTGACGGCAACGAGAACGGCAAAAAAGCAACAGGTTTAGACAGAAGCATATAACTGCTTCTGGTTTAGATTGATTTGCAAAACAACAACTTTGCACGTGCATCACGGTTTTTTGCAAGCTGAATCGTGAGAATACTAAGGGAAAAGAACAAGTTGATAGACTGAAGTCAATTTCCTGGAACAATGCATGTACAGTAGGAGCAAGGGAAAACAACAAGTTCGATACTCCACACGTACTTTCCTCTGACAGATGCGAGACTTCGATTCGCCTTGTCCGCCAGAAATATATTTACAGAGCCGACGAAAGTAGTGCCTGATCTCATTCGGCAATACTCTCTTGGTAGTGATTGCAAAGTCCACATTATCCATATAAGTTTAGTTCTCCGTCTCCTATTTTCGAATCAAATTATTTGTTCGCTCTTCAGTGGCCAGTAGCACCCTTGTACGCTGACGTCCAAGCTCAATTAGGGCGCGTCTGTTTTCCACGACTCCTTCCTTCCGTCCAAATTTCAAAATTCTTCCCAGTGTTGGTCACGTGATGTAAGTCCAGGTTATGTGCATATGCATCAGAGGAGGATTCACCTGTCCACCAGCGTTTTTTTCTTCTTTTGTTTTCGATGAATTTTGCGAGCTCGGCGAGGACGAGCGCACCCACCCCCACCCTCCTTTGCTAGCGGATAATAAAATTACGACTCCGCTTACGACTCCGTAAGATCGTCGAGATCGAGCGCTTAATTTTGCGTTACGGGCTGCCATCTTGTATGAGTCTCAAAACTACTTAGCGGGAGGGGGCGCTGTAATCCCCGACGCCCGCCCCCT